AAAGTTGGAGGAATCAGTGTACCCAATTTTAAAACTTACCACATAGCCACACAAGCAGGACAGTGTGGTGGTGGAGGAAGGGTGGACACACAGTCCGACAGAACAGACAGAGAACCCAGAAGCAGGCTCAGACAAGTGGTGAAAAAGCAATTCAGTCTTTCAACAAATGGTGCTGGAGCGACTAGACATCCACAGACAAAGGAACAACATAATGTCACACCTTACACAAACGTTAACTCCAAACAGGTCACAGACTTAGGTGTCAAACTATAAAACTTTAATAAGAAGCTGGGGAAAATCTTTGGGACCCAGGACCAGACAGTTATTATGTGTGCTGTGCTAAGTCACTTCCATCCTGTCTGACTCTGCGACCCCATGGACTATATGTAGCCCACCCGGTTCCTCAGTCCATGGGGTTCTACAGGCAAGAATACTGGAGTGGATTGCCATTTGCTTCTCCAGGGGATCTTCCCGACCCAGGATTCAAACCCGCATCTCTTGTGTCTCCTGCATTGGCAGGTGGGTTCTTTACCACTAGTGCCACCTGGGAAGCCCAGAATTATTATATGTAATACCAAAACTAAGATCCACAAAAAGACAAAGGAATGAATCAGACCTCACCAAAATTAAAAACTTCTACTCCGCAAACAGCCCTATTAAGAAGGCGAGATGGTCTGCCATGGACTGGGAGACGCCTGCAAAGCACATGTCCAACAAAGGGCTGGTATCTAGAATAAGCAGACATGCTCAGAGTCAAGAATAAAAAGACAACGGCCCCAACGAGGAAATGGGCAGGAAATGGAAGAAACCCTTCACCCAGGAGGATGCACAGATGCAGAACACCGGGACACTGTTATAGATTGAACTATCTCCCTTCAAAATTCATTGTTGAAGCCCTAACCCCCAGTATGACTGTGATGTGGAGATAAGACCTTTCAGGAATCATTAAGGTTAGATGAGGTCATGAGGGTAGAACTCTGATCCAGTATGACTGCTGTCCTCACAAGAGACAGAGATACCAGGCGTGCACACAGAAGACAGACTGAGGAGAAGGGCCTCGGGGGGAACCAAACCTGCAAACACCTTGATATCTCACACTTCCAGCCTCCAGATTGTTAGAGAATAGATGGCTGTTGCACAAACTGCCCAGTCTGTGATATTTTGTTATGGCAGTCCTTGCAGATTAATGCAGACACTGAAACTAAAATGATCACATAACAATTGCTCATAAAACCCTGAAATACCCAGGAATAAATCTAAGAAAACATGCACAGCACTTGAGTACTTGCATGCATGTCAAAAACTACAAAATGCTGAAAAAGAAATCAAAGAAGTTCCAAGTAAACGGAGAGACATACCATGCTCACAGGCTGAAGACTCAGCAGAGTAAGAGATGTCAATTCTCCCAATACTGATAAACAGGCTTAATGCAATTCCTAGCAAAATCACAACAGAAGTTTCTGTAAATATAGACAAGATTACTCTAAAATGTAGAGGGAAAGGCAAAGAAACCCTAACAGCTAAAACAATTCTGAAAAAAAGTTCAAAGTTGGAGGAATCAGTGTACCCAATTTTAAAACTTACCACATAGCCACACAAGCAGGACAGTGTGGTGGTGGAGGAAGGGTGGACACACAGTCCGACAGAACAGACAGAGAACCCAGAAGCAGGCTCAGACAAGTGGTGAAAAAGCAATTCAGTCTTTCAACAAATGGTGCTGGAGCGACTAGACATCCACAGACAAAGGAACAACATAATGTCACACGTTACACAAACGTTAACTCCAAACAGGTCACAGACTTAGGTGTCAAACTATAAAACTTTAATAAGAAGCTGGGGAAAATCTTTGGGACCCAGGACCAGACAGTTATTATGTGTGCTGTGCTAAGTCACTTCCATCCTGTCTGACTCTGCGACCCTATGGACTATATGTAGCCCACCCGGTTCCTCAGTCCATGGGGTTCTGCAGGCAAGAATACTGGAGTGGATTGCCATTTGCTTCTCCAGGGGATCTTCCCGACCCAGGATTCAAACCCGCATCTCTTGTGTCTCCTGCATTGGCAGGTGGGTTCTTTACCACTAGTGCCACCTGGGAAGCCCAGAATTATTATATGTAATACCAAAACTAAGATCCACAAAAAGACAAAGGAATGAATCAGACCTCACCAAAATTAAAAACTTCTACTCCGCAAACAGCCCTATTAAGAAGGCGAGATGGTCTGCCATGGACTGGGAGACGCCTGCAAAGCACATGTCCAACAAAGGGCTGGTATCTAGAATAAGCAGACATGCTCAGAGTCAAGAATAAAAAGACAACGGCCCCAACGAGGAAATGGGCAGGAAATGGAAGAAACCCTTCACCCAGGAGGATGCACAGATGCAGCTGCACATGAGAAGAGAAGCGTCACCACCATCAGGGAGTGAGTGTGTGCGTGATCAGTTCTGTTGGGAGTCTTGGCGACCCCATGGTCTGTAGCTGCCAGGCTCCTCAGTCCAAGGAATTTTCCAGGCAAGAATACTGGAGTAGGTAGCCATTCCCTTCTCCAGAGGATCTTCCTGACCCAGGGATTGAACCCAGGTCTCCTGCATTGCAGGCAGATTCTTTACTGTCTAAGCCATCAGGGAAGGCCATCATAGCCATCACGGAAGAAAAATGCAAATTAAAACCACAGGGATCAGCTCTCTACACCATTCAGAACGGCTAAACAAACTGTGACCCCATCAAAGGTTGGTGAGAATGTGGAGAAACTGGCTTCCTCAGGCATGGCCGGTGAGAAGAAAAAAACGGAGCAGAACAGTCTGGCAGCCACCCCAGGACTCAGTGACGGCACTTCAGGGCATTTATCCAGAGAAACGGAACTCCAGGTTCACACAGAAAGCTATACACCAATGTTTAGAGCAGGACAAAGCTGGAGCTCCTGGCGGTAAGCAGGTAAGAGCCTGGGTGCAGTCACCAGGGAACCCACACAGCACAGGACCCGACGGGAGTAGCTATGTGTCTCTAGGAGCTGGGACGAGTGGTTAAAAGTCAATCCTGACTCGCAGGGTTCCACGTAAGGGCACTCTCGAGATGACAACACCACAGAAATGGGTGCAAACCGGGGCTGCTGGGGTTGGGGCCCAGCGTGGCCGCAGGGGGTGGGCAGGCATGCTCCCATCTCGACTGCGGGGTCCACATCCCCCTAGTGCCTGCACCCCAGAACTGCAGGACGTGGCCAGTGGGGAGGCTAGGTATGTGAGTCTCTGCATTACCTGTTACCCTGCGTGTGAGTAGTGTGTGGTGACCCAGAAATACTGTTTAACTTAAAAGCCAGCCCCCCCAGGCCAGCTCCCCACATGCTCTGGGCTGGTTCCCCACCAGCTCCGTTCCCCAACCCCACTCTCACCACCCAAGACAGAGGGATGGGCCCCCAGCGCACTGCACGTGGAAACAGTGAGCGAGAGGAGCAGGGATGACTCTCCTGCCGGACACCACCAGGATCCGTAATTTCTAATGACAAGCAAGCCTGTAGAGCTCCCTTTTAACCAGGAAACTAAAGGAGCCAGACAAAAATCAATATAATGTCAGCTTGACCTGGCAAGGCCATAAAGTACCACGTGGCAGGGCTGGGCTGAGACAGGGGAGGAAAGTCCAGCCCTGTCCCCAGCCTGGAGCCCCTGAGAAGCCCCACCGCCCAGAGCCAGGATGACCGGGGCTCCAGGGAATGGGAACATCCCTGGGTGTGGAGGCCCCTTGCAGGCCAGGTAGATGGCTGCCAGCAAGGCCCACAAACAAGCCGGGAGGCAATGATGCTCCCTGCGGAGGCTGCCGCTCCAGAGGGGAGGCCTCACCAGAGAGTCCCAGTGAAAGAGGGCCCAATCCACCACCTCTGGACGGAGGTCTGGTGCCTCTGGACTGCCCCTCCCGCCCAGCTGTAGGCGCAGTCACAGACGCCCTGTGGACCTGAGTCCAGCTCAGCCACCCTACTCAGCCACAGTCCCCAGTGTTCAGCCTGGGGGTCCCTCCTGGGGAAGCAGGGCTGAGACCTGCCTGCTTGGGTGGACAAAAAGGGCCACAGGCTCTGATGTCCTTCCCGAACCCCAGCCAAAAATCCAGTTTCTGAACAAGAGGGTATCTTATGCCGGGAACCTTCTTCCTGGTCAGCTCTGGCAAGGCAGTCACCAGTGCAAGGCTGACTCGGCACCCTTGGACAGAGGGCTAGATTTCTCCATGGAGCCGTCACACCCCAGGGAGGCCCAGCTCCCAGCAGGTGGAGGCTGCAGCGAGAAGCCCAGTGACAACCCTCCCGCAGGCCCACCCTCTGGCTAGTTCCAGCTCACTCAGAGGTCCTGCCCTGGCCGAGGCACCGGGAGTCCAGCCTGAGTGTGTCCCAGGTCTCATGTTCTTCTCGGGAGACAGAGGACTGGATGGAGGGAGGGGTCGGGAAGGGGGCTGACAGGCGCCAAGGTCAGTCAACCCTGGAGCTCTGCTCTCGTCTGCCCCCACAGAGAGCTGTCCCATGAGCAGGACCCATTGCAGGAAAGCCTGTAGAAGGGCACAGGGGATGCTCAGGACCATGTCTCCAGCCTTCCCGGGACCTCAGCCAGTGTAGGGGGTACCCAGGATCCCGAGAGCTCCTGCAGAAGTGACCGGCACCCAGGCTGGCCTCGGGGACCCCAGAGATCTCACTGGACTTGACTAGACATGCCCACGGCACTGCCCAATGTCGGCAGCATTCACAGCCCCAACCTGAGCCCTGCAAGGGAGCTGCCCAGGTTGGCAGCAGGCAGCCAGAGTGTGGCCCTCGGCCTCCCTGCCCTCTGACCCTTCCCTCCCTGTTTCCACTCAGTCCAGAGAGTCTGGCCAGAGATGTCCCTGCCTGCAGCGTGTCTATTGTCTGGGTCCCGGGAGGGGTGGCATTGCTGGCCGGGAGGGCACCAGGACACCTGGCCAGGACTTCTCCCCCAACCCACCCTGAGGCGTCCCTCCTCCAGGAAGTGAGCCCGAAAGTGGAGCTAACCTGAGAGTGGACCCGGAGGCCCAGGCCTCGCTTGTCGGAGACGATGAGGGTGATGATGGTCTTGAGAATGGTGGCGAGGAATGTGTTGATGCCGAAGACCAGGGCGCGGAGCTCTTGAGAAAGAGAAGCCGCGATCTGAAAACTTAACAGGGAAACGGGCCAAGGTCAGACCACTGGGGCGAGATACGCCCACAGGTGCAGAGGACCCAGCTAGCTGGCAGTGCTCTCAGGCAGCCAGGAACAGCCGCGGTCCACCGAGGCTGCAGGGCTTGCAGGGAGGCCATGAGACCTACACAGCACCTGGGCTGCCCACTGCCCTGGGCCTGTGCTCTGAGCTGTACATCCTCCCTTGGTGACCCATAAAGGGAGCGCAGAGCCAGGCGCAGAAGGCAGCCCTGGGAGATAAAGTCTCCTGGAAACCCTGGGACAAAGTAAGTTGTCGTCACCACAGGGCTCTCAGAAAACCGTCTCCCTGAAAGCAGGGTGTTAACACAACCACAGGCACAGACGGGCGTGAGGAAAATTCCAGATTTAAAGTCCTTTGCTGTTAAATGAGTCAGTAAATTAGAAAAAGACCCATAAAACAAATAAAGAAGCAAGAGGAATTAATATGTTCAGTGCTTCCAGGGCTCTGCACAGAAATTAACACTTTGAACACACTTTTCAATTAAAAGCCCCAAAGTGCCTTAAAAGAAACTAGACAGGAAACGTTCTCAAGTTCTGAAGAATGAGTGAACAAAAATGAGTGAAAAAAAGAAGCCTTACAGAGAATGACAAAGGCTAGGGAGCTGCTGCTGGGGGTGTGGGAGGGTTGGGACGACAAGAAATACATGACGTGCCAGGGTGGGCAGGCACACAGTAACTCGAGCAATAGATTAACTCCTGGAAACAGGAGCCCAGCCAGGTCCCACGGGTACAGGCTGAACAAAACGCCACCGATACGACTGGTGGAGATGATGCTGCCAGAGCTCCACAAGTGGAATTAAAGCCAACGGTAACAAGGTTTCACACTCCATGAAAGGCCCCTGCCACCACACCCACAGGTGGGAGAATAAACGGGCTGCAGACGACCGGGGAATAGGAAATCCCAGCGGGAAAAGAACCCACGGGTGTGAACCGGCCAGGACAGCAGGGAAGGGCTGCTGGCCCTTGGGTTTTCGTCAGCTGTGAACTGGCCAGGACACCAGAGCCAGGACACACTGGCCCACCAGCCGCCCTCCACCCACGCCTGCCTGGCCCTGTCTGCAGCATCTCTTAAACCCTTTCTAAAGCACATGAACTCTGACCTGGCTGGCCCACTTCCGGAACCACCTGAGGCCATTATCAGAACTTCAGAAGAAAAATGTAGGTGAGAGGGTGAGGCTTCTGAGCTATGCGTCTCAGGGAGATACTGGAGACGGTGGCCTTGTCACCAGAAGACCAAAAACAATGCCCTCTGGACACAGAGCCGCAGGCTTATGAGGCGAGGGGAGCAATGACCCCGGCAGCCTGACACCACATGTCAGCCACAGAGCCTGGGGAGTTCTGCTGTCTCCTTCTCACCTTTGTGTCTCACGTTTGACCTTTTCTGCTACTAGCACCCATGGCTTTTACAATTAACACACGAAACACCAGGTGTCCTGAGAGAACTGAGGGGAAGACACCTCAGTTTCCACAATGCTGACGGTGGCAGGAGAGGTGGGGCGCTTGCAAGCTGAGAGCGCGTCAGGACAGGAGGATACAGCGTCCCGCTTGTGTGGGAGGCCAGGCCTGGGGCCACGGCCACACGGCCACAGGGGCAGGAGGGCGGCGGAGCATAAACCGTGCCAGCAGGGCCAGGGTGCGGTCTGGGCGCCTGGGCAGCACTGGCCCAGGAAATGAAAGGACCGGGTCTGATCCGGGCTCCCTCCCACAGACCAGCGCAGGCAGGGGTCTGACGTGCAGGGGAGCCAGGCCACCATGCCGTGGGCAGGGGGGCGGGCTGCAGAGGGGCAGGAGTCTGAGGACACCATCCAAGCTCAACACAAGGCGGGGGCACATGTTCTCACATGGGTGTGACCGGAGTGGATGGTCCAAGTCGGGACGGAGGTGCCCCAGGGGAGACGGGGCGCAGAGGGGAGCTGGAGCCAAACAGCTGGGGACAGTGACAGGCCACCTGCCGGGTACAGGTGTTGAGCAGGTGTTGTGTGTCACATACGTGGTGTGGACACGTGTGTCTGGGGTGAACACATGGTGAGAGGTCCAGTTCAGAGGGTGCACTGAGGGGTCAGGAGCCAGACCCAGCAGGACATGGCTGGGGAAGGTTCTGGAAGGCACAGTGGGTTGGCAGGCAGCTCTTGGAACATCCCCGGGTGGGTGCAGGAGCGTCACCAGGGGTGTGAGGAACGTAAGGGTATCAGGGAAGGTCTCTCTCGGGCAGAAGGTCAGCTGGGTCACCCAGTTACTGCTGTGAGCCGCCCTGCCCAGAAGCGGGAGAGGACGGGAATGGCCTCAGAGTCACTCATGACAGGACCTCAGGGCCGGGAGGCAGGGAGGAAGGACTACAGAGGTCCTATCTGTGTGGACACCAGAGGCTCAAGGGGGGAGCACAGGGGACGCCCACACAGGCCAGACTCCTCGCCCAGCCTTAGGGTCCTGGCAGCTGAGACAGGGCATGCTGTGGGCATGGGGGCTCCTGGCTAAAGGCACCTGGGCTCACTCTCCGACATGAGCAGTACATACCCTGCTGCTCCCCAGGGAATCTTCTGGAAGGAGACCTTCTGCTACATACAATCCATGGCCCTCCAGCCACCACCCCACCTCCAGTTTCTCAGGCCACCTGCCAGCCCCCGCCCGACTCACGTGGCGATGGGCACCAGGAACTGGTAGGAGCCGCGGAAGAGCACAAAGGCCGCGTAGCACAACCAAATGTTGTCTGTCTTGTACATGAGGAACACCAGCCCCGCCTGCAGCAGCGTCATCACTGCGATGACCAGCCCGGCCCACAGCGCCCAGCGGATCTTCACGAAGCCCGCAGTGAAGGAGGTGAGGGCACCTGGGGAGACAAGGCGCGTCACGGCCATCCCCGTCGTCACGGTGGCCGCCCCATGGGGCGGGGCGTACCTAGCAGCGTGGAGGCGGCGTCCGCCCCGCCGTTGTAGACCTTGGTGGTGTCCGTGGTGGGGTTGACCACGTTCCACAGGATGGGCACGTAGGAGACGATCAGGTAGTAGCCGGCGGAGCTGAAGACCCACCAGACAGACCAGAGGCGCAGCTGCGGCAGCTGCACCACGCGGCCCAGCTCTCTGAGCATGCGCACGAACGTCGAGTCCTGCCACGCGGCCGGAGGCCAGCCCGGCTTCGCGCCCGCGGCCTGCGCCTGGCCCGGGTTCATCTGGTCCAGCTCGGAGGGCGCCGCCCCGGCACGCACGGGCGCTCCGCGGTTGAAGAAAAGGCTGCGCTTGGGGCGCTTCAGGAAGAGCGCCAGCACCAGGCTGAAGGTGAGGAAGGCCAGCGAGATGTAGTTGAGCGTGGAGAAGGGGACCCTGCCCATGGTGACCAGCAGCTGGCCCAGCACCGAGCTGGTGAAGACGCCCAGCAGCACCGAGGCCCGTGAGTAGCTGGCCATGCGCTGGTAGCGGGCAGGGGGCACCAGCGAGAAGATGTAGGAGGAGTAGGCGATGCGGGCAGCCATGGTGATGCCGAAGAAGAACTCCATGAACTGCATGTGCAGCACCGTCGAGCCAAACAGCAGCAGGAGCCACACAGACACATAGCTCAGGCCCTGCAGCAACAGCACCGGCTTGTAGCAGAGGTAGTCGGTCAGCAAGAAGACAGGCACCAGCACGGCCAGGTACGAGTAGGACAGCACCGGTGTGATCTCGTTGGTGACCTGCGGGACAGCACAGGCGTGACCTCCAGCCCCAGAGCACCGTCCCTGCTGCTCCGGGCGCCCGTCACGTCTGCTGGGCTGGGCCCAGCACCTGCGAGCCCCACATGGCCCCCATGCACCCCCAAGTCACCCCGTCTCCTGTGCCGCTTTACCACAATGCCCCACCAGGACTACGTGGTGGGTACTGTCCTCCAAACACGCGCAGCCCTTAGGGGTGTCCAGGGCGTCTGAGAAAACAGAAGCACAACCAGACCCCCAAACGTGTTCCACTCTGATCCCATCCCCAAGGGCGTGCTCCTCAGGAAACAGCTTGGTACTGACACCTGCAGAGCGCCGGTAAGTATGCTGAAAATAATCAGCAACTACATGCTAAGCCACGTTGATCCAGGCTTGTCTCTAATGAAGTAACAACATGATAGGATTTCCCCTTAAATCTAACGATATAGAAAACAGAGCTTCCTTGCCAGCAGCCAAGGAAGGCCTTCAGTGGCCAGTCTCACTCGGTCCCAGGGCACAGGGGATGCTGCAGCCACCCTTGCACCAGCCATGCAGGAGAGCAAAGCTGGGCCCTCACCCCCACCTGTCAGGCAGGACTAGGAGCTGCCTTCAAGGGAGCCAGGACTCCCAGCTTCACCAAGGGAGCTGTCCATGGCCTTGGCCGTTCAGCTCTCCACTCAGACAGGGCCAGCCCAGCAGGATACTACTCTCTCCTGGGCACGTAGGGCAAGGCCACAGCCACAGACCCCCTTGGGATGCGAGCCAGATGTCCTCCCACTGCCCAGGAAGGGCCACTCTGGGCCTGCCCCCCAGGAAGAGGTCCCAGCTTTTGAGAGACCAAGTCTTTGGCCTTGCCCCGCCTTCCTGGGGGATGCACACGGGAGGCAGCCTATGCTCGGAGCCTCTCCCGAGGCCCAGCTGGGTGTTTGGCAGGTAGTCTCCTACAGGAATCCCAATGACCCCACCTGACCCTCCCAGGGGCATCATCTGACCCCAAATGACCCTCCCAGGAGTTCCACCTGACCCCAACTGACCCTCCCAGGGCCTAGTCATGGCTCAGATCAGCCAGGGGCAGCAACAGGAGAGCCTCTGGCCTTGTCGGACTCTGAAGCTTTGGCCTCCCTTGGTTCCCACCCGACTCAGGGTGCTAACCCTGACTGCGCCTGACTAACTACTAACACCAAGGTCCACTTCACAGATGCACCAAGGACCCAGAGCTGAGCCCAGGTCAGCACGTGGGGCCCAGCTGAGCCCACTACTTCCTGGAGGCTCACCCATGGTTTTCTGCAGCCGTCGTGTCTGTCCACCCAGAACTTGCAGCCTAACTGGCTAGGCCTGGGCACTGCTTCTGAGTCTGTGCTCGGGACCCCAAGCTGGCCACACTCCCACTGCCTCCAGGGCTCCCTTGCCTGCTGGAAGCCACCCAATACTAAGCACAAGAGCCTCGGGACAGTCCAAGACAGTCTTGGTGCAAGTCTGTTCTCAGGGGCGCTGAAAAACCAGTGCTGGTCCCAGAGTCATGGGAGCCAGCTACAGGGTCAGAGCCTTGTTTATGGAAAATTTCAGGAACATCAAACAACCACTCAGTTAGTGGTCGAGCTCTCTTGGCAGGTGGCTTGCACAGCTGTGGGGCCATGGGGTCAGAACCACAGGAGGCCAGCCGTTCTTTCTTGTCCCCTCACTTGCTGATCCGCTTTCTCCAGCTGGGCAGGCACGCAGGCCAGGGGGGCAGACCCATGTCATTATTTGGGAACTACGGGGAGCATGGCACCCATGGAGTCCCTGTGGCAGTTGGCATGAGAGCTGCCTCATCCTGGTGCAGCCAGTGTTGCTGGGCCACGTTCTCAGCACCTCGGTCCAGACTGGCAGGCAGGACGAGGAAGCCATGCCCACACCAGGATCCAGGTGGCCTCAGGGCAGCCAACAGGAGACTTAGCCCGGGCCCCGTGGCAGGCAGGACAAGGACAGGATGCCATGGGCTCTGAGGAACATGGGACAAGGGGTGCAGGGCAGGGCCAGGCCATAGGTGACCAGAATTCCAAGATGAGTGGCATCAACAGCCTACACCTGGCTGCACTCAGAGGGGCACAGGGAGCGAGGGCAGGACAGGGGCTGTCACACCAGTGACAGGTAGGGCCAGCCATGGGCCAGCAAGGACTACTGTGTAAAATGTCCTGGGCCAGGGTCATCATGGAGGTGGGGTGGGGGGCTGAAGGACCCAACCGGGACAGCTCAGGTGCAGAGGAGTCACAGGGCACAAGGGGCAAAGCAAACCTCGTACCCACCAGGAAGTGCGTCGTAAACCAAAGGGCAGGGGGTTGGGAGGTGGGGGTGGGCGGGATGCGTGTGCAGGCAACACTCAGCATAAACTGGGAAGAATGGGGCTGAGTTCACAGTGAAACTGCAGCCCAGAAGGGGAGGAAGCTGGTGGACAGGAGACACCGGGCCCCCCAGTACCAGAAGCCCACCAGGCACAGGAAGGCAGACGCCCACAGAGGGGGAAGCTGGCAAGGCCAGGCTTGGAGACAGCCAGGAACGTGAGACACCACAGCAGAAATCAAGGAAATCTAAGCCCAGCAGCAAGCCCTTCATCTATCAGATGGGCACAAACTCAACAGCGCCTAGTGGGTGCTGACGAAATGGAGTCAGGGCCTAGCCTCGCGCTGCAGAGGGTGGAAGCGACTGCAGCAGCGTTTCCCCTGGGGGACAGGACAAGCTGGAGACCTCAGAGACCCTTGGAGCAAGGCGGGGGAGGGGGATCTTGGTGGTTTGAGGCCTGGGTGCGAGCTGGGCAGTATCAGCCTGTATCTATGTGGGAGAAGTGACCGTGGTCACAGACCCGCCAGGCTCTCCCCGAACAGGCCTCTGCCGATCTCGGGTCACATCCAAGGCCTGGTGGGAGGCTTAATTTCTGGAACCTACTATTTAAGAGCTAACTTGTGACCTGAGAGGGCAGGCAAGTGGGAGTTTACTACAGAGGTTTTCCTTATAGTTATTTTAATGGCACGTCCCATGGGCTCACTCCTAAGTCATCTAGGCAATGGACGATGGGCCCTTGCGGAACAGAGTGGTGTACAGGGAACTGGCCAGTCAGTGAATGAGGGATGTGCCACACCCAGTGCTGGAAGGAGGCGAGGCCCCCCACCCCAGACTCACCTGGGGAGTCACCCCTCTGGCCGTGGGGTTGGAGCCCTCACACACACAGGGCTTTAAGCCTGTGCATGACGCCGGGGCACATGGGTGTGTCTGGTTTCCAAGAGGGCTACTTTGAGGGTGCAGGCTCATGTGCACGGCAATTCCATATGGCTTAATCCTGGGGTCACTGAGGGGTAGGGACCAAGCCCTGGACCAAGGAGAGGCAGGAGCTCCCTGCAGAAATCAAGTGGGGTCCAGCACCAGCGGCAGGGGGTATGGAGGCCAAGGTCACCGTGCAGGGGACAGATGGGGTTGGGGTCAGGCTTTGGGGTGGCAGGTGGCCCTAAGGGAGGACGAGGAGGGGTGGTGAACAGACCCTGGCCATGTGCTCCATCAACCGACGGACTCTGAGTCCTCTTGATTTGCTTTATTTTATGGAGACGAAAACTGGCAGGGACATTGCCTGCTGCTGCTTTTACGCAAGACTGCCGTGGGGTATAAGCTTATTAGTAGGGTTCCAACGAGATCCTTTGTCCTTGTTGCTGAGCAAAAGGCAAATTCCTTCTGTAATCCCTCTCCACAAACAGCCTCTGCTTGGAAGCAAGGGCTCCACAAGCGGGTGGGCAGGCAGTGGGCTCTGCCCCGGAGGCCCACGGCGGGCATGACCCCTCCACCAGACCTGCCACCACCCCACAGGAACCTGGTGGCTGCCAGAGCCTGCAGCCATGCAGCCCCCGTGCTCCGGCCCGTCCCACTGGCATGCGCGCCCAACATGCCTGTGTCTGCGTGAAGTTCTTGTCGGGGCCCAGGAGGTAAGGTGTGATGAAGCTCTCCCCAGGCCGCATCTGGGCCATGAAGCCGTAGAAGCAGAGGAAGGACACCAGCCACCACCAGGACTGCTGCTCACCGCCGGGCTGGGGCTCCTCCGACGCCTGCTTCTCCACCTCCGGGCCAGAGAGCGCCATGCTGCCAGGAAATGGACGGGACGTTGCACCTGAAGGGGGAGCTAGAGTCAGGGTGGCTCCACAGACAACTGCAGCCGCCTCCCCCAAAAACTCTGTGGTGACGGGCTCCCCACCACACCAGTCATTCAACCAGGACTCACATCACATGGAGGAGGGCCCCCAGCCCCAGTCCTGCACCCCCAACCTGGAGCCTGTGACAATCCCGATGCCAGGCCTACCCAGGCTGGGGTGTCACCACCTCTGGGGGCTTCAGGGCTGCAGCTCTGTAGGGTGGCGGGAACCATGTGGGGCCCATAAATGGTAAGTAACTGAAAGTAAATGCAATTTAAGATCCAGGTCCCCAGGAACCCCAGGCTCCAGTCATGTGCTCACAGTGCCACCTGCTGTGGGCCGGTGGGCAGGCAAGACCTCTGTGCCCTGCCCCAGAGGCCCGAGACAGACACAACCCCTCTGCCGGACCTCCCACCACAAGATCTGACAACTGCTCCTGCGTCTGGAGTCTCAATGTCACAGCACCAGGCATGTCCATGTGCCAGGCACAGCCGAAGAGTGGTCCCAAGACAGCCAAGAGGATGGGGTAGGAAGAGGCCCTGCTGGGCACACAGCCCCTCCGGGAGGCCAGGCATACACCCGGGCACAGCACAGGGGTCCGTGATGAGGGCAGGGCAAGAACCCCCCCCACCCCCACCTCCCCGGGCCAGCCTGGGCCACGCTCAGCAAGGGAGCTACGGTCTGATGAGCAGCTTCCTCTTTCCTCTCTCGTTCATTTCCGTGACTCATGGAAAATGGGGCAGAGGTGTCACAGCAGTAACCCCCTGGAGAAGCTGGGGTTGGTGGGCTTATTCATGAGGCTACAAGGAGAGGCAGCAGCGGCCTAGGGGTTACTGGGTCCTAGGACCTGGTCCCAGCCTTCTCAAGAGCTAAGTGAAACACCAGCCAAGAAGGGAGGCCAGAAGCCCCTGGGAGATGCGGCTTCCTGGAGAGCACACAGCCCAAATGGCTCCAGCAGAAAGACTCTGTTTAAGGCGGGCACACAAGGCCCCCACTCCAGCTCCAGGACTCCCCTCAAGATCACTCCCCTGGGCCACTGCTGCCTGAGTGCCAGGAAAACGGAGACCCTGTCAGCTGAGCTCCCAGCATGGGGTGAACAGCCAAAAAATTACAAAGCACGGGGCCCCCAGGAGCGGGTTCCCACACTGTCTGTCCCCAGGGGCCCCGGGAGCGGGCACCCATAGGCCACCATGCTCCCAGTCCCCACAGGCTCAAGAGCTCAGGAGCCCCCACGATCCCTGTCCCCAGGGGCTCAGGGGCCCCCTGTTCTGAAAGGTGTCTCCAGAGATGACAGAGATTCCCTACCTGGTGCCCCCGAAATCCCGAATCCCAGCGCAGAACTCTCAGACTCCAGAGCACACCTGCTTCTTCATTTCTACTTCCTGGACTCCCACAGCTTCTGAAACCCGAGGCGGTGCTTCTGAGAGTCCTGTCAGTAGGTCTGGGGCAGGCAGGACTCTGCTCCCTGACACGCCCCCCCCCCTCCTCCCCTGCACTCCCAAACAGCAGGAGCCGATGACAGCTCCGCCCCCAGTATCAGAGGCCAGCACCACAACCCCCAGCGCTCAGACACCCCGGTGCCCAGCCCTGAGGGTCCCAAGAGTCACAGTGGTGGACCACTGCCCTCCCCAGCAGCACCAATCTGCAAGAGTCCACATCCTGTGATGGCCAGGCACCTGGTGAGGGGATCGAGCGCAGCTCTGCAGACCCCAGGGGTTTACATGGGACCTCTGGGAGTGTCCCACCAGCTGCTCCCCTCCAGCCCACCCCATCCCTGCAATCTGGGGAGGTTGAGCTCGCTGCTGCTGGAGTCCCTCACCTTCCTCCCCCAGCCAGCGAGAGAAGCCTGGGCTCCTCAGCTCCTGGACCACAGGATGAGGAGGGCCCAGGGTCACCTGCGGTTCGTCCCTCTGGGCTGCGGCCTACTGGCTGGTGGGTCTCCCTCCCGTCTACCTGCCTCTGCACAACCTTCTGCTCAAGACACCATAGGCACAACCTCAGGCCTGCTTCCCGCTGGGGTGGCAGAAAGAAAGCAGCCTTCTCATCTGGACTGGGGTGCTGGGGAGGTCAGGGGGGTCCACTGACCACTCCAGAAGGAGGGACCCAGGCTGCCTCTGTGTTTCTCTGTGCCCCGGTGTCAGGGACCCACTCTCCAAGGACACGAGCCAAGACGCCCACCCCGGACAAAGGCAGCCGCCTGTCCTAAGAAATGTCTACTGCCCGGTGGATGGCCCAGTGACCTTGGAGCCCAGCCCCGCCAGCCCCCCCTCCACCCTGCCCCACGCCAGGGGAGCAGAAACGGCAGTGAAGACCCGGAAAGCTCAGAAGGTACCAGACCCTGTGGGGTTCCCTTCAAAAACGGTCACTTTCATTTCTGCTTTATGTTTTCTCCTGCTACTGCTAAGTCGCTTCAGTCGTGTCCGAGTCTGTGGACCCCATAGACGGCAGCCCACCAGGCTCTGCCGTCCCTGGGATTCTCCAGGCAAGAACACTGGAGAGGGTTGCCATTGCCTTCTCCTGAGTGTCACTTAAAAATCTGCCCGTCCCACCCATATGGGGCCCTCCTCCAACTTTGGGGGGTGGGGTGGGGGGTCACAGTCCTGGCCTGTTCTGTGCCAGCACCTCTGGTGACTTCCCATTAACAGGCCTTGCAGAGGCATCCAGGTCAGAGCTGTGGGGAGCAGGTCTCGAGACAGGCTGACCTGTCACTTATCACAGGCCTCACTGAAGACAGAGTGCTAGGCTTGAGGGGCTGGCGTCCTGGCCGCTGTGAGACCACCGCCCAGGGCCATAAGCAATGGCACTGATTTGCACTGGAGGGGCCAGGAGGCCGGGCCCATTTTGGAACACGTGTCCCCCACATGCACCACCCCACACACTTCCCAAAGATTCCAAAGCAGGCAGAGGGCAGCCAGCGCATACGCCCATGGCTGGACTGCAGGGTCACAGGGAGGGCCTGGGCCCATCCAGGGAGCACAGGCGGCCACACCAGAGCATAGGACCCTTATGTGGGGCCGGGGCAGGGGTGCAGAAGAAAGAGTGGATGCAGAGCTGGGCTCTCCCTGGGGGGCCAGGCACTGCGTGTGTTCCTGGCGGCCTTAGGGGCCTCAAGGATTACCCACCCTGTTCATTTATTCGACCTACATGAGGGCACTGCCATGGCTATGATTAAAGTCCTCTTCCAAACACTCAGGCTCGGGAAGGTGAGTCGGAGGGACCCATCATGTACTCACGGCCACAGAAACGGCACCCAGGGCAAGGGGGTGCCTGAGCTCAGGGCAAGGGGGCAGGCAGGCCGCTGAAGGAAGCACTGCCCGGCACCTGGGCAGGCCACCGGGAAGACGAGGACCTTCAGAAGGTCCTGACCGTCACCCTGGAAGGCCCCTTCTGACAACCCATGCTCCCACCTGCTCCCACCAGTTCTGTACTCCCAGCACCTGTGAAGGCTGGAGACCCAAGACCAAGACAAACCAAACACCATGGCTCTCGTCTGGCCCTTCAGGAGAGCCACCACTGCCTCAGGCTGCCATCTGCTCCCTGAACAGAGAAAAGCCTTGTGCCCTCCCAGATCACATGCCAGTTTGTGTTCCAGAGAGTAAAAAGGAAAACCATCTGGCCATCCCTACTGTGGACACCAAACCCACAAGCTGAAAACCCTCTGGACATGCTGGTCATCTTTGCCTAGCACAGATAGCTGTAACTTGGGGTCATTAAACCCACGGATGCTCCTCCTGAAAGTAAGCATCCTGCCAGCGCGAGTTCTTGCAGTCCAGCAGAGGCCGCTGGGTGGGCTGCCCACCCACCCACCTGTGGCCTGGGCACCTGGCTCCCAAACCTGCAGGGGGAGGCACTTCTGCTGATTCGGTCTGGGCTGGTGGGGAGGGGGGCCCTCCGGCCTCCCTTCCTGAAGGGGCACCCAGCAGGGAGCTCCAAGGACTATGGAATCTGCACGCTGTGGGTGGCCTGGAAGACAGCTGCTTGCAGATTCCCGCTGGCCTTCTGAGACCTGCGGCCCTGACATCCGAGGGGCCAGGAATCTCATGAACACACGTGTGACGGTCACCCCGAGGCTCTCCAGCACAGGTGGGGTAAGAGCGTGCCTCCCGGAGAGGTGCAGAGTGTCCCACGGCCCTGGACACTCTCCAGCGCCCGGTTCCAACAGCGCCAGGAGCTGCTCCAAGGGGAGGTTGTTCACACCTACAGACTCCCAGCGCAGGAAACGACAATGGCTTGGCTGGAGACCAGACGCGCAATCCGGCTCCCCTTCTTGCCCGGAGCCCGCGCGTAAGGTGACAGAGGCTCGGAGAGTGCGCCGGGGTTGCCACGGGGGACGAGGCTGCACGTGGGGCTCACTGCCCCCTCACTCATCTCCAGCGCCCCCGTGCCTAACCCCATCCCGGGACCAGGTGCCCCCGGCTCGTGTTCCCCAGCCGCTCCCCCCCACCCCAGCACCCGCAGCGCCCGCACCTAGAGGTCTCCCCGAGCCCCAGAGCCTGGCCTGCGCGCACTCCGGCATTGGGAGCGTGTGACCCCCGCGCGCTCCCTGCAGCCCGGCCAGCAACCAACCCCATGACCTTCACAGACCACGCAGCCCCAATACCTGCGCGCTCGCGGCCTCCGGGCTAGGGTCTGGGGACCACAGTGCCCACAATGCCCCGCGGCCGCTCGCTTCCGGTAGGCTGGGGGAGGGGGCACCTGGCCCCGCCCCGCCACGCGTTGCTGGGACACAAGCTGCAAGGTCTCCGATATGCGCCCCACCCACTGTAGCACCCGAGGTCCGAACCCAGCGGGCTCAGAACTCCCGCGTGCACGGCCCGTGGCGACTCGGAACACAATCCCTACTCAGCCCACCCAGTCACCGCCCCCTGGTCACGCGCCCCTGGTCGCCTAGTGCTGGCTACTCCCCGTGCGTCCACCCCGCCCCCGGCCGAGCCCCCGGCCGCAGCCCTTGCCGCACACGCGCGTCCTTCGTGCCTTACCCACCCAGCGCCAGACTCCCGTCACATCGCGGCTGTGCCGGAGGTCTCTGGACCGGGCCTGGAAAGAGGCGCCTCCCCCACCTCCCCTCCAGCCTCTGGCTGCAGCTGCCCCTTGAATGAGGGCCCCCCCCTGACTTGTACACCGCCGGTCCCGAAGACACCCCAGCAAGAAATTCTTTATCTTTTAGGTTCATTTATCCTGAGACGTGCCTGCCCTGGCCAACCCACAAACTCCAGCTAGGGGCATTGGTCACTGAGCTAGGCAGGACAGCACTGTGGGGTTGGAAAGAGCCCCCGCCCCCTGTTGCAGATGCCTGTGTGGATCATCCTGCCTCACATTTGGTCTTGTAGGTGCCTCTGGACTCCATCAGCTCCTTCTATCAATCATGCGGGGACTCAGAAAGTAAGGCTCTGCTCCGCCTCCCCGCCCCCCCCCCCCCCCCCCCCAAGGCGGGAAGGCAGAGCAGATTGGGGGAGGGGTACAAAGACAAAGGAGTGACCCAGAGGCCCAGTTGGGCCAAGCCCAAGGTCCCTGGAGGGATCCTAGGAATGGAACATCCAGTCCTGGTGTCTGGCTTCACAGCCTCCCAGTGCCTCCCTGACGCTGATCACAGCAAGACCAGCCCTCTGGATGTGGCTTGTCTTGTGCTGTGCAGTCTTTGACAGTGAGGGACGCTGGCAGGGAGGACGCTTGTGAGTCACAAGCAGGGAGGCTGGGGTTCCCAGGTTGTGACCTTCAGGCGGGAGCACTGAGAAGCTGCCCCTGTGGGAGCCACCTCACAACCTCAGAAAGTGGCTGCTCCCTCCCTCTGCCCGAAAAGCTGGCACCAAGGAGCATGGCCGTCGGGCACCCAGAGCTAGTCAGCCATCACAATCGGCCAAGTTTGGGAACTGGGCCGGCCCAGAACAGCAGTGCAGCCCCAAGAGAGCGTGACGGACAGCACCCAGGGACCTGGTGTGTGGAGAGCGGCTTCCCCCTTAGGTGGGATCAGAGCTCCTCCCCCACGTCCCTCACCTGGCGGCCCCTCTCTGGCACTTGGGTGTGTGTGGAGCCCATGCCTCATTCTGGTCCCTGGCCACGCAAAGCCCAGGGAGCCGGCCGGAGCTGGGCTCTGGGTGAATGGAGGGGTCATGCTCACCACTGCCCCCCACCACCCAAGATCTGGCCAGGGCTGCCGTGTCTGGCTGGGCTGTGAGCATTGTCACTGGGGGTGGAGGGAGGGGTGCAGCTACTTGGTGGGAAGACAGAAGGGCTTCCAGAGTCCAGGATGTGATTCGGCTGCCAGGAGCGGCCGGGGCACCAGACCATGGCTCCCTAAGGCCCTGCGGGTGCAGCAGGCTGGAAAGAGGCTGCCAAGCAGTTGGTGTGCATTGTTCAGTTGCTCAGGCCTGTCTGACTTTTGCAACCCTATGGATGGCAGCACGCCAGCCTTCCCTGTCCTTCATGATCTCCTGGAGTTTGATCAGACTCATGTCTGTTGAGTCAGCGATGCCATGCAACCATTTCATCCTCTGTCGCCTCCTTCTCCTGCCCTCAGACTTTCCCAGCATCAGGCAGAGAGATGTGCAAAAACAGATGGTTTGGGGGCCAGCTCATTTTGGGGGATAGGTCTTGTGCTCCAGGCATCATGGCTGTAAGGGGTGCTCTTGGCTTTAACAGTCTGTGTCAGACATTTATGTGCCTGCTCTGCACAGGGTCAGGGCAGCTGCTGTGGGGGGCTCAGAGGGTGTGAAAGTGGGTCCCCAAGTGGACCCTGACCTGGAGGGTCAGGATGGGCCCGCAGCACTGAACCACAGTTTCACCAGCCCGTAGGCTCCAGTTATGTCTGCTCCCAGAGAGGGCCAGGGTCTATAGCCCTGCAAGAGCCCTCCCCTCCAGAAGGGGTGCTCAGGAGGGTTCAGCGTTGTAGTGAACGGCAGCCCCCAGCCCCTATCTGGCCCACCCAGCCCTGTCTCCCCCACAGTGGGGTGTCCCAGTCTGTCAGCTCTAGGCGTCCCCAGCTCACCACCTCCTGTGACCCACCCCCCGAATATATCCCATCCCCCTCTGTCCCCTTCCCTCCCCAGAACCAGGTAGAGCCCGATACCCCATGTCCAGGTTGAGACAGTGAAGGGCCTGCTCGTGGCCGTCTAGGCCAGCCTGCCTGTCCACCTCTGGAACACAGCTC